TTTAATGACATTCAATATAAGAGGGTCGTCCATAAAATACGTACGCATTTGTTTCGCCAATCCCTCCTCTCCCCCCTCTCCTCACCCTCACCCCCCCCCCCCCCCGCATTTTATCATTTTTTGAGTACCCTTTACTCCCTAAAAGTATGTTTTTCATCTACCAACCCAACATTTTATGATTTTTTTTTTTTTTATTTAGTGTCTTCATATTTTTATAATTGACCTTTTGCCCCCCCCCCCATTTTATACACGCCATTTAATACAGACCCCCTCTTCCTCTCCGAGCGTACGTACAATATGGACGATGACTATGCCGATTTTCAGACCATAAAAATTTTGCGCATGCTTATTAACCGCCTATTTTAGGATGATATTAAACGATGACTCAATGCAACCAAGGCAATGGAACAAACAAACTCGTAAAAAAAAAGGCCGATAATTTAAAACAAATCCGATTGGTTGTTAGTGGCAAAGCGAAAAACTTTTTATTGGTGCAAACAAAGAATTCGAATTAAAAGTAATTTATTTATAAAGTTTACAAAAGTAATTTATTTATAAAGTGTACCGCCTCTGTTTTTTTTATTGTTTATGCATTCTGAATAAAATAATTTATTATTTCAAGATGTCCGAATAAGTCCCGAGTATATCAAAAAATGATACTAAATACCAAAAACAGTTTTTTGAATAAGGCTAAAAATTATGATTATTTATGCAAAAACGACTTTGGTAGAAAATTTAACACTACCATAGGTTATCTAAATCTAACGTGACGTTATTGTTAAACATACTCATTTAGGTGTGGTATTGAAAATAATAACTTCAATTTTCATAAAAAAATGGTTTTTCATGGATAATTTTCCCAAACAATGTCTGATTAGAAATGTCAAGTTATTTTCATTGAAAACAAACACCAATACGTGCTTTTATGAAAAAATTAAATTCATAGACTTATCTATAGCCAAGCCCCGAGGTACTTTATGTTGAAAATTGCATTTTTTCTAAATAAAACTGCACTTGACGATTTGTTATAGTCGCATTACTTTTACCAGATTGTAATAGTGGTTAAAACAATCTTTCCATAGAGGAAAAGGGGGCAACATGGCGAACGTTTTGAAAGCCCTAAGTTATTGAAAAACTATCAGTCGCGAAGCAATAATACTTTCTCAGTATGTTCACGTTATTAAAATGATTCATTGCCTGCATGAATTTTCAGTTTGCAAATATAACAGTTTGAAATAATTTTTTTTTTTTTTTTTTTTTACAAATTCAATATATTTACACATCGTTACCTTATAACTACATGCCATAATATAATGCAACGTAATATAATGCAACGTATAACATATCATAATAAAAAGTGGTTTAACAAGTATAATTAAGTATAGCGTAAATTAATAGTGTTTTTTATCATAAAAACTGCCAGTATTTTTTTTAAAAAAAAAAGAATAAAAATAAGAAAAGTAAAAAAATAAGAGAAGTTTTTTGTTAATTCAGATATATACATGCTGTTGTAAAGGAAAACTCGTAGAAGTCTAAAAAGACTTATCATCGAGTACCTCTTTAAATGGTTAAATAAAGTCTATTTCATTTTTATATATAGTCATAAGTGATTAAACAATATACAGTCAATGATATGCATAAGTATTTTAGTATAATTTTTAATTTTAATGTTAAGTTTAATGCATGTCGATATAATTGTTGGTATTTAGTATGAGGTGTTTTAATTTATTTTTCAAATTGGCAGCATTATTTAATACTTCAAGTTCTATATTTTTGGATATGATTTTGTTATATAGGGACGGACCCTGGTAAGAAATAGAAAACCGTGAAAACTTTGTTGTTCTTTTAGGCAGTGTGAACAGTTACCTGTTGCTCTTGTTATATATCTATTAGAGTTTACTTGAAAGAAGTTATCTAAAATATATATATATATATATATATATATATATATATATATATATATATATATATATATATATATATATATATATATATATATATATATATATATATATATATATATATATATATATATATATATATATTCCACTATGTATTCATATATTCCATATATGTATTCATATATATATTCATATATATATATATGTATTCATATATATTATATGTGTATATATATATATATATATATATATATATATATATATATATATATATATATATATATATATATATATATATATATATATATATATATATATATATATATTCATATATGTATTCATATATATATTCCACTTCCTTTTAAGTTTTTAAGTGAACTTAAAATTTTAATTTTATCTTGGTAGTTTAATAGTTTCACTACGATAGTTCTAGGCGTTTTGTCTTCTTTATACGACCCAATTCGATGCGCTCGTTCCACAATAATTTCAGTTGAAAATTTAAAGTTGTTTGTAAATATTTTTTTCACAGATTTCTCACAATCGCTCCAACTTTCTCCTGGTGAATCTTTCAGGCCATCGACTCTAATGTTGTTACAACGAAAGCGGTTTTGTAAGTCAGTATTTTTTGTATTTATATTTTTAATTTCAAGATCATATTTCATCCTTATTTGTATTAATTCTTCCTTTTTTTTATCCTCTTAAAAGTTGATTTTGATATTTTTATTGCATATAATTTATAAAATTATTTTTATAATTTATTTTTACTGTATATAATGTATAAAAGTGTATTGAGACTTTCTTTCACATCGTTTAAGTCTTTTTCAATATTTCGCATATTGCATACGCATACTCTGTTCTTATTTAATTCATTTTCTATTTTGTCGAGTCTATTAGTAATAATTTTTATATTTTCACTCACTATTTGCGTGAAGTTTCTTTAAGCAAAGTTCTTTTTTGTTCTTCAAACTTGTTTGTAATAATTGCTTCGATATTTTTGATCGTTATTTCCATTTTTTTAATTAATATTTTTGAAGAGCAGTCATAAACACGTGCGTTCGCGCCAAAAACTTTTTCAAAAAAAAAATTAAAATATCAATAAAATATAAAATAAAATATAAAAATAAAATATCAAAAATTCAATATTAAAATAAAAAGTTCAAAAATTTGTCATCTGGTCACGTGACCGGAGCAAAATAACATTATGCAATTTTTGCCACCAAATTTTATATAACTTAAAAAACTACCAATAACTTGCAAAAAACTACTTCTAAAGAAATTAAACTTAAAGGACACCATCCATTATGAGAAACCAAAACTGAGGAATTTTTTTTTAAGCGCAAAAAGTAAACTTATGCGTATAAAATTGCGTTGATAGTATTTAAAAAAAACCTTGTGTTTTAAAATACAAGATGCAAATACAGTTTCGCTTTTACCCAATTTTAAAATTTTTTGTTGAGTTGTTATATAAAACCCATCTTGCCCCATTCGCCATGTTGCCCCGCTTTTCCCTACATAGCAAATATGTCATACTTTTTGATGAAAAAACTTACTTATATTGCAATTGAAAAAACTTAAATATTTGTTCGGAAAAACGTGTATCATGCTTTAGTTGCATTGAGGATAATAAAAATGATATTAAAAAAACCCAATGTTATATAAAGTAGATGTCTAACTTTGATCGGAAAAGTGAGCAGCCGTGGTGCAGTGGTAACGTACTCAGAATCAAAGGATCCCTGGTTCGTGTGGTAGCGCCTCAGGATCAAAGGATCCCTGGTTCAAACCCCTCACCTCTGGGGAAGTCTTGTGAGATCGGTTAGGAAAAAAGCGTGAACTTTCAGTTAAATGCTTATCCGCGGTGCTCTGCAATAAGACCGTAAGGACTTTTGGGGCACCAAAATAAAGTTTAAAAAAAAACAAAAAAAAGTGAAGCCGATTTTGCCCTTTTTACAAATGGCGGACTGAATTTGTGAACAAATGTTTTTTAACTTTTCTTTTCTTAAATGAAGTATATATTAAAATCAAATACTATTTATGTAAAAGTGTTAAACAGAAATTAGAATACTTCTAAAATTATAATTTATGATTCCTTAATTTATTTTCGATTAAAAACAAATTAAAGTTTTGAATAGAAAAGTTAAACGACAGGTGCTTTTGAAGCATTTTTATGAATTAAAATACTTTTTAATAAGCATACCGTCATAAAAAAGTTTTTTAGTAATTTAAAAAAGTATTTTATAATTATTAAAACTTGTTTTTGAATTATCTTTAAATTATTGGGAGCTTTTAACTTGCATTTTTAACTTTTATTTCACACTTCTGCTTTAGCTTTTGCCCTTTTTATAAATGGCGGACTATTGTTATAAACAAAAACAAAAAAAGCGGCTTCATTTTTTGTCCAATAAAATCCCACAAGTTAGACATTTAGTTTATAATATATCATTAAAAAACCCTAACCAACAAAGTGAATAAGCATGTATTTTAGAAATTTGAAGTGTACCAATTGCGTCCAAAATATATTCAGTATTTTTGAATCGATCGATTTCAGCATACTCATAATAACAGCATTTTATGACAATGATATTATTAGAATATAAAAAATGAAAACAGTTTAAAAAGTTGAAACCGATTTAAAAAAAAGTTAATTGTAAAAAGAGGGAATTTTTCCAATTTTTTTTGGGAAACAAACTTTTTCGGGAAACAAATCGCTCTTCAAATTGAGAATTTTACAAAATTTTACAGCTATTAACTTTTCGTATTTTAATATATAATTATCCCGGTATAAAATATGCATCTTACAGTTTTATTAAAATATAAATTTTTAATCAGCATGTCTATCAGACCTAGTTAAATCTTTTTTTAAACTAAATGCTGAGTTAAATATAAAGATATACATATCATTGCAATTGCATAATTTTCCCCACCCCTTATGGATCCATTCCATAATTATATATAATTGTATATAATAAAAAACAACATCAGATTTTTACTTTGCTGTTTGTTAAAAAGTGCATCATTACATATAAATATTTATGTTATATTTATAAAAATAGAAACTTTTTATTTGCTAATACTGAAATAACAAAAATAAAGAATACTTACTACACGTCTTTTCATAAGGCATTGCTAAAAATAATAAAAAAGTAAACAAATACTTTATAAATGATCTGTGTCAATTAGTTAAAATTATTTCTAAAATACATTGTTGAAAACTTGTTAAAAAATATAGAGTAGATTCAGAAGCGATTATACGGGGGCGTGGGGATTGAGGGTGTAAGAGGGGTGTTACACCTTCACAAAGAAAGTGATTTTCAAGTTATAGTCTTTTATGGTTTTTTTTTTAAGAATTTAGTCGACTAGTCCGTTAAATTTTTGGTTTGAAAACTTTTTTTTTTATTGAAGCTACTCGGTACTTTTTGAGAATTCAACCCCCCCCCCCCTCACCCTCATTTTATTTGTAGAATCGCCTCTGGGTATCGGGTATTAGGGTATTATGAGCACATTAAATGAAAATTAAAATATTTTCAGAAATAATAATGCTGGATCCAAAATATTTTGCGAATAAACAGTTTTTAGGGATTACTACTCATAATCCAATTAGATATATGGGCACCCAAAAGTAATATGAGGTAATATGAGCACTTTGAGCTAGCTCGAAAAAATAACATTATTTAAGTAAAAAGCTAACAATTAGAACTAATTTGTCATATAAAATGATTTGCTATTAACAAAACTTATTATTAAAATATCAAATTTTAACCCACTTTTTGTTGAAACATTACTTTTACGTATTTACGTATTAAATACGTTTTACGTATTAAAAAAAAAATTAGTTCATTATTTTTTCAATTTTAGTAACTCATACCTTTAAGCAATGAAATTACAAATTTTTTGAGTTAAAATTACAGAAAGATATTTATCACTGTATTACAAATTTTAGTATGTTTTGTTTTTATTAAAAAAGTAATTAAAACTACTGCTATTTTTTTAATCGAAATTACTTTAAATTAAGTAACTTCGATTAAAAAAAAAACATACTAGGTAAATTGAGCATGCTTATATTACACAAAAATGGTATCTTTAAATAAAGTCAAAACTAAATGTTTCATTGCATTGTTTATCAAACAAAAATGAAACGGATTTCATTTTACCAAGGAGCTCATATTACCCTAATCTACCCTAATGAATTGTAATGATAGTACAAAACATTTATACATTACATAAAATGAAATGTATATTACTTTCTTTTTTTCTCATACTTTTTTTTTTTAATTAATTCACTCCTAACAAGACAACAACGAAACACCATTAAATTGTTTCATACTGTTTAAATTGGTTCACACTATTAACTGGTTAATAACTGGTGTGTGTCAAGTTTGTTACAAGGTATGCTCATGATTTTGCATTTTGTAATGTTTAATAAAATTTTGTTTTTGATGCACCAGTTATTAACTTTGTCGCTTATTTCCTGTGGTAAGGTTGAGTGGGCTGGGTCTTCAACAATGTATGTAAGGATGTCATCAGCAAGTTTGTAGAGTTCAGTATTGCAGTCAAATTTAGTTGTTTGTGTCAAGTATGAAGAGTATAAAGAAAACGGGTCCGAGTGCACTGCCTTTGATGACTCCGGCTTTCACAGGTTGCTATTCTGTTGCTATGTCATTGTATAAACTTGCTGATATCGGATCTGTAACTACAATGCAATCCAGGAAAAAAGTCATTTTGGGAGGCATATTGATAATTTGATAAGAAAAAGCTTGTGATCAACTATTTCAAAGGTTTTATCAAAGTCAAAGAAAATTTCAATTGATTTTTTTTTTGTCTTTAACAAGATGCTAGTCTTCTATGGCACATTCAATTGCATCCATGGTGCTTTTACTTGAAAGGAAGCCGTTTTTTTGTTGTTTTCTAAAATGGCGTGAGTATGGTGGATAATAGATTTGGCGACAACTCTTTCTTATTGCAGAGTTGGGATGACAACTCTTTCTTATTGCATTTTCTTGCAGAGTTGGGATGTGAGAGAGATTGGATGGAAGTCTGATCAGTTACTTGAGTTTGGTAATTTAGCAAATGGTGTTACGTTTTCAGATTTCCATTGATAAGGCGTAAATAAGTCAGACAAACACTGGTTAAACAGAAGACTTAGAATATCGTAGATTTCATGACAAACACATTTGAGTAGTTTTAGCAGATCTGGTTGGGTCCAGGTGATCCTTGTTTTAATTTTTTTTAAAGATTTAAAACGATGCCTAGAGAAAAAAGTAAGAGTGCGCTATGGTGGTTTAATTTAATTATAAAGTAAGATAATTCCGTCTGCTTTGAACATTCCAGACACTGTAAAAACCTTCGTTTAATTGCATTGCTAAATCTGTATTAATCAATTGGGTTTTCGAGGCTTTTTCAGTTTTCTTTACTTTGTTCCACCAGGTGCTAATTTTGTTAGTAAGGCCACTATAGAATTGTTTTTTGCGGTGCCATATTCTTGCGTTAATAATTTTGCAATTTTGTTTTTCATTTTTCAAGATTGCTACTGTGGTACTGTTTTTGTCGGATTCGGATCAGTTTCTTAATGTCAGCTGTCATCTATGGTTTATCATTGACATTTTTTGTTGTTTTTAAATGTTGTTGATAATTCTATCTGAACAATGTGTTGGTAGAATAAGTCAAAGGGCATCTGTCCATTGTTTTTGGAAAAATTTAATAAATGACTTGGGATAATTTGTTTCCAATTTGTTTGTCTCAGAGTTTCTGCAGTGTCTGCAATGTTACCGGATCTGTTTATTAAAACTAAAACCGAAATTTCGGGTAAACAAAATTAATATCAGTAAAAAGTGTAAAATTTGAGTAGAAAATGTAAAATTTTAGTAGAAAATGTAAAACTTTAGTAGAAAATGTAAAATTCTAAAAATGCAATTTTATAATTTGTTGTTTATTTAGCTTTTTATTTGTTTTTTCACATTTATTGTTTATTTTTTGGCGACTTCTTTCCGTCTTATGTCACAATAAATTAATAGTCATAAACAAATAATAAGAAGAAAAAAATTACTCATAAAAATCTATACAAACAACTCAAAGTATTTATTCACAAAACATAATCCTTTTTTACTTTTTATTTTAACTATTTAAATCAAACTTGTTTTCTATCGAACACCTTATCGGAGCAGGATTCAAAATACTATTTGCTCTGTAATGGTTTGAAAATTTGCGGTTTTGATAATTTTAAGAAGCAGATTAATGCGCTATATTTACAAACTAAAAAGTTTAGTAATTGAAATACGATGGGACTAGAAGTTTATTAAAAAATGGTAAAATATTTTGTGAAAATGGTCAAAATTTTCATTTTTTTTTAACCGATATTGTGTTTCTTACCGAACTTGTAAAAAGTACCGAACCCGAAATTTCGGTATTGATTCAAATTTTAATTTCGGCCAAAACCGATACCGAAATAAAATTTTGGTCGATCATTACATGAAATAATTCTTATGTTTTAACTAATATTTTAAGGGCTGATTTATAATTTTAAGTTTACGAGAAGGTAGCTTTAAAAAGTTTTTAATTAACTTTCTTTTTAGTTTTTAATTTTTACATTAGTAGAGTAGAGCGGGGCTAGAAGTAAGTTTTGCAATTAAAGTCTCAAAAACTACGCTTCACGTGAAAAAACATCTAAAGAATGAACGCTAGAGAATTAGAATGTAAACACAATGCGCAACAAAAGATTGCTGAAAAGCAGTTAAGTAAGGTAGACGCGCACTTTTTTAACTTTGGAGCAAAAAGGTAAATTTTTTTGTTCCTGTTTTTTTTTTTTTTTTTTTTTTCTTTTTTCTTATTTTGTTCTTTATTACAATATTTATGATACAGATACAAATAATATAAAAAAGAAAAAAGAAAAGGTAACAAGTCAAGATATCGTTAAGTAATAAAGAATAAAAGTAATTTTAAAGAACGCGGATACTCAAAGAAGACCATCCCCGACGGGCATTTGTTTTTAAAAATTACGATCTAAATGTATTTTAAATGTCTTTTAAACGTCTTTTAAACATTAATGTTTAAAAGACGTTTAAAAGACGTTTAAAACACATTTAGAACGTATCTTTTAAAAACAAATGCCCATCGGGTCAGGTCTTTTTTTTTTTTTTTTTTTTTTTTAGCTTACAAAGTTAGTCGTTTTACAATACAATAAACTATTAAAATTACTTTACAAATATATTTATATACAAAACGAGGTAACAGTGTAAACTAGGTCTTGCCACAGAGAAACCGCTATTGAACGTTTTTTTTTTTTTAATTTTTAATTTTTTTTTTCAATGTTTTTATTCTTTTTTTATATTTATTTATTTTTGTTCAGTTTCTTTTTATTACAAATTTAATTTAATAATAAAAGTATATAAAGTTCGTAATATAATATTATAAATAAACATACAATATTGCAATATAAGAGTTCTAAAACGTAAAAACTAAAACATGTTAAATAATTTATTAAAATAAAACATGTTAAATAATTGCTTGTTAATAAAAAATAAATAAATAAAAAATAATGTACATTAAATATATACATATACTAATATAGATAAGGGATTTTCAAAAATTTAAAAGTAGATTAGTATATTTTCAGTTGAAAAAATGAGTTTTTTTAAGATTTTGTTTAAAAGAATCAAAATTACATTCTTGAGAAAAATCTTTAGAAGTATTTAGAACTTTACTATTCCATAGAAATGGTCCGCGAAACAAAATAAAAAATTTTCTAAAATTAGTTTGAGAAAATGGTTGTCGAATTAAGTTATCGTTCCTTAGAATATATTTATTTTTTTAGAATATATCTTTTTGTAAATACAAGTTACGAAAAGAAACGGGTGATAGGTGGGTCTTGCATTTATACATAAAACAAAGAATATTAAAAACATTCAACTCATATATATTGAGTGCTTTCATATCATATAAAAGAGGCTTGGCGTGAGCTAAACGGTCCTTAAAATTTATAAGGCGTGCTACATGCTTCTGTTGCCGATAGAGATGTTTGAGTTTACTTTTATAAGCGCTACCCCAAGCAATGTTTGCATAGTTGATATGGCAATGAATTAACGAATAATATAATTGAATTAAGGTATTTTTATCAAGAATGTTTCTTATTT